CGGGAAGGGGCTGCAGGAAGGGCCCCCACGCGCTCTGCTCCGCTCCTCCCGCTCTCCCAATCGGCATTTGAATGTGGGCTCAATCCGTGCGGAACCAAAAAGCCCCCCAGCATTTCCTTAAATACCTCCGGCGTGGTAACCGATCCGCATCCCTGCTCCAGGTGATATTTCAGCCCCTGGGACAACCCGTTTTGGCCCTGGTTTTAAATAGCCCACACGTGTGGAGCCAAAGCGCACACGTCCCCGGGCAGGCAGGAAGCTGCTGCCGCGCGCGGTGCCATGAACGGGCTCTGCCTCGCTCCGCGCGCTGGATTTTGGATTTCGGCAGAGCCATTAAGGCTTCCTCTTTGGGGATTAGGCAGGGTTTAGGGTTTCCTCTTTAGGCTTTAGGCAGGGCTTGCTTGCAGAAGTGCTGAAAAGCACGAAAGCTCCCCCGGGGATTTCATACTTTGGGGTCCACGTCTTGCTCCACCCTCAAGGGAGACCACCCTGAGATAGGAAGGTCAAGGTGCCACGTCCCAAGGAGCTTTTGGGGACAAGGCCAAGGCCCCAAGGCTCCCAGACTGTAGTTAATACTTGCACTAGTGATTTAGTGGATGGGCATCTAAAATATACCCTAAAGAGAGCAGGACGGGGGAAAGGAGCTCCTGCAGCAACTGCAGAATCGTGTCCCTGCGATGCTGTTTAGCCAACAAAAGTTGACTTTTCTTGACTTTCAGTCAATAAAAGGTATTTGCCACCTAAATTTGCCAGGTAAAACGCTGCAGACAGGACACACAGAGCGAAGGGAACGGCCAAGCTGAAGCCCTGGTGGTGGCTTACGAATGAGATGTTGTTTATTGGCTCCCTGTCCCCCAGTGCAAGGTGTTGCAATAAGCACCAGGTAAGAAGAGCCACGTGCAAGAGGCTAATGAAGAGCTGTGCAGAGCAAACAAGCACAAACACCCCCGAGGGGAGCAAGGTCACTCTGCAGGGTCCAGGCGCAGCCAGAAACTCCCCCAGATCACGGGATGCTCCAATGCCCGGGAGCGTTTTGGAGGTGTTTGGCCCAGCAGCAGGAAGCACCAAAACGGCAGGATTTGCCTCCGAACGCGCTGCAAACAGAATTTCCCTCCAGCCTATGAAGTCACTTCCTCCCCACCGGCTCTTCCAGCCCATGCACAAACAAAAAAGGTGATTGAAGAGCTGCAGCGCTCCCCGGGTAACATAAAGCCTCCCAGAAGGAAGCTATGTAAGGCACTAGCACAGTCGGGATGTTATATATAGGGTCAAAATCCCTCCAGCGATGTCTCCAGCTGAATCAACCCAGTAATCTGACTAGCGTCAAAAAATATCCCGCCCGGATGCCGACAGCCCGAGCGCGCGGGGCCTGGCCGGGCGCCAGCGCAGCCCGCGGGCGCCGCCAGCGCC